TAACAATGTAGTTCCAAAGTGGACGAACTGATAAAATAATGGGTCCTGGAAATAACTCCATCCAACTAAAAAGCACATGCTGTTGAGCTTAACATCTTGTATAGGGTGTGCAGGTGGGTGGTCCTAGCCCAAATCCCTTTAAACAGAAGTATTCATCAAGGCAGTTGTGAAATAGTTCCATTGAAAAACTGAAATTTATACCAGGGAAGTAAAAAAAAAAGTCTCCCTTTGGGCACCATAATAAGTTTAAAATCTGATTCTTCCGTCTGAGAATCGGTCAGTTAGGTTTTTCTAAATTTAGACTTAGGTGAAGCAGGAAGACATCCCGTGTTTTAGGTACTTGCCCCGCTGCCTCAACTGCATTCTTGCAAAGACAAGAAAACACTTTTTGGGGGGCCTTTTAAATTGCTCAAACTGTCCTCTGACAACCTTTCAGAAGAATCTGGGAGGTAAGGAGAGGATTGAGTTTTAACCAGGATTGTTCCTTGCTAAAATGTTTTCTCTCCCTTTCATCCACTGCTACAGCAAGTCCCATTGAGTGCAGTGTCACTTTTTAATTCAAAGTCCCTGTGCTGTCTCAGCCAATCTATGGGAATTGGATAGTTACTTAGGAATTATGAGCTGTCCCCTTAAGGGAAGGCATCACGGTAAATGTACTTAAAGGTGTCCTGGGAAATGTAGTCCATATCACATGACCACATCTGTAATCCTGATTGGTCACTAAATTGACCCTCAAAGGGTTGGGGGAAGTTTTCCTCACTTTTGCCTGAACTCCCTAACTCATGGCAGCAGCTTTCTATCACTACAAGATGGGTTAGGAGATAACCATCTTTTCCTTTTCTGTATCTTGTACAGAGGTGGATTTATAAGCTGTACAGATGCAGATAGATAACTCAACAAGACGTCCATAACAAAGTACATTTATTGGTTCATCAGGTATCCTCATAACTCACATTTGTGACGAAGTTCTTCTTTAATGACCAATCGTTTGTATATCTGCCTTGTAGTAAAAAATGGTTATCTCCTAACCCATCTAAAAAGCAGCTCCCATGAGTTACCACGATGCCTTCCCTTAAGGGGACAGCTCATAATTCCTAAGTAACTATCCAATTCCCATACACTGGCTGGGACAGCACAGTCCCTTTGCAAGCTTAGTGCATCCTTTTTCTCTTTTGAGGTTCTGATTGCTGGTTTTGAATGAGGGCAGTTGCTGAAAAGTTCAGACTGCAAAGTTCCTCTTCAGAAAAAACAAAATCTTTGGAAGTGGCAAGCCCAACACCCCACCTCCCTGGGAGACTTGCAAGGGATTAAAACAGGGCTCCCCAAACTTGGCAACTTTAAGCTATGCTGTCTGAGGAATTCTGGGAGTTGAAATCCACAAGTCTTAAAGTTGCCAAGTTTGGAGACCTCTGCATTAGAAGAAGAGGAATGATTGGCTACCTGCTGTCCTCCAGATGTGTTGGACACATCAGCCCTCAGCCAGCAATCTCATAGCAATGGTTTGTGGGAATTGTAATTCAAAGCATAGTTCAAATTAACTATGTGCCAGAGAAAATGTGGCCTTTGCCTTTAACACAAGCATTTCCAAATCAAAACTGCAGATTAATTAGCATTGATTAAAAGGGGGAGAATCCCAAGTGTGCAGCATAGTCCTGCCTTCCACTCTGTATTATTACTGAGAGGCAGAAACACAACCTGTATGATTCTTATGATCCATTATTTTTTAAATTAATGGGACATTGTCATTCCTCCAACTCTCCAGTTTGATTTAGGCATCACTAGACAACTAAGATAAGACCTATGTTGTTCCTTCTGGGGCTTCTCTACAATCAGGGTCAGGAACTTTACTGGATTGGCATATAGAATAAAATAGTTGGAAGGGACCTTGGAGGTCTTCTAGTCCAGCTTGCTGGCTGAGGAATTCTGGGAGTTGAAGTCCACAAGTCTTAAAGTTGCCAAGGTTGTTCTCGTCCAACCTTGGCAACTTTTAAGACTTGTGGACTTCAACTTTGGCACTACATTGTTATGAACTTAGGGAATCCATATTTTACAAACAACTTTGTGGATTAAATCTGAGCAGGAATGGATGAAGCTCCGAAAGGGGAGAGCTCTCCGCTGTCCCAGGTAGCACAGCCAGTGGAGAAGGATGCTGGGCTGAAGTTGTAATTCAGCAGTCCAGAGAGGAATATAGATTTTCCATGCCTGAAGTAATACTAAGGGATATATTTTAATAGTACAAGGCCAAATATGGAGAAGGGAGGGGTCTTTTTTATTCTCATGATTCAAGAGTTTTCCCCGCTTCCTTTTGCAGTTTATAAAATTTGTTAACCTAGACAAAACTTACCCAGTTTTTAGAAGGCCCTCACTGAATATTCCCAAACCAGAAGACACAGGATTGGGAACCCAGTGATTCCAATGAGGTTTATTCTATCATAGCCCTGTGCCAACTGGCTTGGTGAGTCCTATTAAAGCGTATTGTTCCGCTTATTTCCAAGTGAATGAAATGGAAGAGTAACACAGCCAATTTCCTTTAGACAATGTTCCTGGTTAGTTTCAAGGAGCCTCGGCTCAAATCTTGTATGGATGTCGATCACTTGTCCCTCTTGGTTTTGTTTCCCCTCTTTTAGACAGTATATAGGTGCAGAATCATTTTTGCCCTTCTTCTTTCTGTCTCTGCCCCAGCTTCATTTCTTCTGGCGCTGCCCTCTTTGAAAGCACGGAATAAGCACAGGCAACTCCAAATTCAAGGCTTTTTTTTTTTTAAAAAAATCATCTTTTATTGGAAAATTATCTTGATCAAGATTTTCATGAACCCATGCATGCAGACATACACACACACACACACATACACGCTTTGCGACAGGCTGTTTCTAAAAGCGTCCTCCCTTTTCAGGACAACACATTTTGGTTATTCCTACTTGGGCCTCCCTCTTTTGCTTTGGAAGAGTCTGAATGGACCCCAGCTGATGAAGCTTTATCAGGATATAACCATCAAAGCATCTGTTTCACGGGTGGGAGTGAAGGGAAAGGCCAATGAACTAGGTGTAGCCAACAAGCTCACATCAGCAGGGTTGGGAAATCATATTTATTTTTAAAAATATATCTATATTTGCACTGAAATTTTAAAAAATGAGAAAAAAGATAGCCTGCATTTGTTTAAACATCGGAGTTTTGCAGGTTATAAATAATTTAATCCCTATCGTTCATAGAGAGAGGTATGTGCAACAAGAACCCAACGTTCAGCGTTTTTGAAAACCTGGGCATTTTTCCTGTTCAGTCCAAAAGCGATACGCCAACAAAGCATTTTTAGACAAAACCCTGATTCCATTAATTCAGTGTCTAAAGTCATGGTGCTCATCCAGTTACTCCTCTGCTGTAAATCAGTTTGAGAGGGCTGTCCTAGAGCAGAGTTTACTCCAGAATACATGTGACGAAATTCAGTAGACTGACATCCATAAAAAACACTCCTTTCCAGCCCTCTGGGCCCCAAGGCAAACCTCTCCATATCCTCCCCCCCCCCTCACATTAGTCACATTTAAAGAGCTAGTGCTTATATTCAAAGGAAAGAAACTTGCTGGTTCCTGGGATTCTTGGAGAGGGAAGGGGAAGCTATCCCAGTTGGTTGCGTTTGTAGTAGCAAGATGCAGAACTCTAGAAGGCTAATAGATGGCAGCAAAGACTTAGAATGTTCTACATCTACTTGGCTGCCATCTAGTGGCAACCCTAGGCAGTCTGTACTGGCACTGCCTGCTGTAGATTACATGCCAATCCTGGAAAAGACTGCAACCATGGCTACCTCTCTTTTTAGGCTGAAGTCTGGCCAGGGGCCATTACACCTGTTGGCCCAAAATGGCCAACTCCATTCCTTGGCTCTCACTGTGTGTGTGTGTGTGTGTGTGTGCCAGCCATACTGCTCCCTGCTCTAGCACTTGTTTTCTTTTCCTGCAAACTAGCACAGTCTCCAGCACAATAGGAGTTTCCTTGCTGGAAGGACACTGCCTGGCATGACCTTTGATGATCTCCCAGTTGCCAGGGCTGCTCAAGTCGACTGGCCTCGCTTCCCTTGCATAGGCATGTTTCAGAGAGACCTGACTTTTTCAGAGCGGTCTCACTTTCTCCCAGCTGTGCTACAATTGGGCTCTCCTCGCCCCAAACCATCTAAGGAGCTGAAACATGCTTGCTGACCCTAAGCGATGCATGTCCAGATGCTAGTCTTGGTCTAAAGCTGCTCTGGGAGTTTAGGCCAGCTTTGTGTTCCCTGATGTTTGCTCCAAGCTAAAGGGTGCGTCAGATTCAAGTCACCCAAGACTGGAAACCTGGCACGTTCCAGATACTCGGATTTTAAATCTCATGTTGTACCCCGGACATGACCCACGGGAATGGCAGAAATAATTGGGGTAGTTTATACCTGACTTAACGCAGTCGAGGCTTTTGCGGTTTCCGTTTTTCACTGGCCAAAATATCTTCTTCACCTTTGATAGCATCCCTACCCGTCGATCAGAATCACCTTTAATAAACATTAGCATCCTTATCTAGGTTGGCTCCAATGCTACGAACAGGTATCCGGGGACAACCCAAATGGATTCGATCGGACTTACTTCAGGATATGCTTTATTTACAACCATGGAGAAAAGGGGTCCCATCCTCCGATGCCCCTCTCCAGATTCACTTTAAGGAGCTGGGGTGGGGGGGGGCACCTGCAGCCTGTTGGATGCCCCCACCACCCATCCACCAACCAATCATTAGTAGGAAACTGTTTCCCTTCTGCCAATTAGAAAGAAGCTCTTTTGTCCATCTGAAGAGTCCAACCTTTAAAGAAAAAACAAAGAATCTGAACAGCTGTTTGGTTTCGGTCTGGAGGGGGAAAATGGCGGTTTTAAGGCACGGTCTTTCTAATGAGTCTGGATTTGCCCCCCTTTTTAAAGTGCGTCGAGGGACATTTCCCCTCTGTCCCCACGTTACCCCAGCCTTTCACGGGGATTCTTCGCCCGGTTCCCTGGTTACACCGATAGTGTCTCTGATGCATGATAAGGCCTGTAGGTGTTGGGATGAGCGGCCGCCATCTGCTGCAGTGAGCTGGGCAGCCGCAGGGGGCAGTAGAGCGGAGAAACGCTCAGCGTGTGCAGCTGCGCCGAAGAGAGCCGGGCGGAGGAGAAGTACGAGGGTCTCGCGTGGAAAGGGTGGTGGGGATCGCGGCCGCTCAAGGCCTTTCCCTTGGGGGCCTCCAGCAGCAGAGGATCCGGGAGGCCGTAGTGGTAAAGGGCCGAGCCCGCCGCCAGTGGGAAAGTAGGGACGACGCCGTAAGAGACGGCCGGATGAGCGAGGAGTCGGGAATAGCCCGCGGGGGCGGCCCACGCCACCGCCCGGTCTCCCACCGGCCTCGCGGGGGACCGCGGCTGCTCTTCGGAAGGCTGGAACGGCCGGCTCAGGAGGCTCTCGATGGCGAAAGGGCTAGAGAATTTCGAGGCCGAGGCGCCACCCCCGACGGCCCCCGCCGCGCCCGCTTCCCCCGAGGGGCTTTTCCGATCGGCACTCGGGGAAGCGGGCGCCGGGGACGGCTGAGCCGAAGGGGAGCCGTCGCCGGCGACGGCGGCCAAAGCGAGCCCCGGCCGGCTGAGCCGCTTCCTCCTCCTGCGGAACACGCCGTCGGCGAACGTGTACTCGGAGTTGGGGTTGAGCATCCAGTAGTTGTCCTTGCCCCACGGCCGGGCCGGGTCTCGCAGCACCTTGACGAAACAGTCGTTGAGCGACAGGTTGTGGCGCACCGAGTTGCGCCAGCCCGTGTAGGCGCCGCGAAAGAAAGGGAAGCGGCCCATCAGGTACTCGTTGATCTCGGCCAGGGTCAGGCGGCCGCCGGCCGAATCCCGGATGGCCATGGCGATCAAAGCGATGTAAGAGTAGGGCGGCTTCGGCCGGCGCGTGTAAGGCTTTCCCGACAGCCCCGGCGCCGCTTTACACTCCTCTCCCGGCGAAGGCCCGGCGCCGCTGGCCGGACTGAGCGCCGCGCAATCCCCGTCGGAGCCCAGCTCGCTCTCGGCTGCCCGCGGGGAAGCTTCGCTACCGCCTTCCTGGTCGCTGCAGCTGGGGCCGCTGAGCTTGTCCTCGTATCGCGGAGCAAAGATCTCCAGTTTCATGGTTGCGGGCCCAGCCCACCCCGGCTCGGTTATCCTCGCCCCCCCCTTTCCACTCCCACCACCTGCCTCGCCTGGGTGGGAAGCCGGCTTGGTGGTTCTGCCGATTTGAGGGCTTCCAAAGTTGATCACAAGTTGGGGCTGTACCCCGGTCAAAGTCTCTGAATGGGAGTGGGGCGGGGAGAAGAAGAAAGGACCAGGACGTCCCCGCTTGGGAAGCCCTGGAAAGGTAAGGCGTGCTTCCAAAACGCCGGCAGGTGGTCCTCCTTTTTTTTTCTTTCTTTTTGTCCTCCTCCCTCAGCAAATTCTCCCGAAAGGATTCCGAACTCAGCTCATGCCAGCCAAGGTCAAAGTTTTGGAGAAAAGTTTGCTGTCCCCGATGCTTTAAAAATCGATTGTTTCGGGCGAGAGGTGTCAGATTTTTGGGGGGTGGGGGGTGGACGAGGGGAAATGCGTCTCAGGTGCGATGCTGTTTTCCCATCAGCCAGGTGACGGTCGCTTTCTTAGAAAGCAAACTCAAGCGCGCCTCGCTCCCTCTTGGCAATTCGGGTAGAACTTGGATTTTTTGGGCTCCGGAGCTTCTTCCACCATCGGGGCAGGGTTTCCAAATGCGAACCCCTCCTTTGTTTCTCCCCCCTCTCGTCTGACCGGGATGCTGGCAGGGATGCTTTGCCGTCCCACTCTTCCCCCTTCCTCGTTGGGCTGCTTCAGGCGGTTCAAGCGGAGAGCAGCAACAGGTGGCTGAGAAGTTGGAAGCGACTTCAAATGGTTTCCCTCCGTCAAGCAATTCTTGGTGGTGGTGGGTTTTTTTTTTCTCCTCCTCCCCGAAGAAGCGCAAATCCTCCCTGACTGGGATTCAAAAGCCCCCAGCGACGGCCGCGCGATAAAACCGGGAGTCCGTTTCCCTCCTCCGATGTGGTTCCCGGCTCCCGAAGGACTCTCTTCCTCAGCCCCACGCGGGCGAGCCGTCTGCTGGCGGGCGCAACACTCGAGCTGCCGCCGCTGCTGTCATTACTGGTATATATTGTCATTATCTCTCTCCGGGACTTGTAGGGCCAGCCCATTTCAACGCTGGGCAAGAGGGGGGAGGAGGAGCTTCCACCCCCCCCCCCAGAAGCTCCCGGGTGGGTCGGCCAAGGTGGGCACCGGTCGCGCCGCCAGCAAAGCTCTCGCTGGCAAGCCATTGGTGCCTCTTCTGGAGAAGCCCCGCCTTCTCCCGGAGGGGTCCGTCCAATGAAACCGCCGCCACGGGTCAGCTCCTCCCACCTCCGCTTGTTCCTCTCGTCTCAAGGTGCGAAGGGCGAGGTGCCTTTTACAGGTGGCGTCGGATTTGCGGTCTCCCGGGTCGCCTGCCTCGGGAATCTCATCGGCCTGGGCGTTTCGCAGAGTTTGGCGGCTCGATCTTTTTCCCTGCTGCTGATTACAACAGAACTCGGAAGATCAGAGTTGGAAGGGACCTTGTAAGTCATCTAGTCCAACCCCAAGCAGGAGCACCGTTTCTGACAAGAGGGCAGTCCAGTCTCTTCTTTGAAAAGCTTCCAGTGACGAAGCTCTCACAACGTCTGAAGGCAAGCTGTTCCGCTGGTTAATTGTTACAGTGAGCGACGCTTAGGTTGTGGGGAGGGTTAAAAAAATCCCAAACCGACGACCCGCGAAGGAGCCTCGAGCCTCGACCTAGCCTGTTTCGCGGAGAGAAGACACCGGGGGAAGAAATCGGGGGTGCTGTTTCTGAGCTAAAAATAAAATTGAAAAACCCAGTAACTACTGTACTTGCAATAGAGTGATGTGTGTATACTTGCAGAGTCTGGTGACTTAGACCTGGGAAGAGGTGCCAGCCTGCCACTGAAAACTTCAGGGTGATTCTTTTAAGTCGTTCAGACCGAAGAAAGGAGAGCCATTTTTAAGATGGTCAGCAGAAGGGATTGCTGACCAACACCTTCCCCAGGAAGATTTTTAAAGAATAACATAGTTGGAAGGGACCTTGGAGGTCTTCTAGTCCAATCCCCTGCTCAGACAGGAAACCCTATACCTATATTCACCACTGTTGCCAGTATTGCAAACCTATACCATTTCAGAGAAATGGTTGTCCTATCTCTGTGATTGGCATCAGCACAGCATTTTTGGTACCCCCTCAAAATCTCTCTGTTTGGCTCAGGCGTTTTCAGCTGGCTTATTTTAAATTTGGCTAAATGTATGTATTTCCTGCCTTTTATTGTTGCAGTGGTCAGGAGTTTGTTTACCATTCTGATATACCACGAAGGCCATGGTGAAAAAAGTAAAACAAAAAATGAAGTTGTAAAGCGCATAATATTCCCAGCCAAATTATAAACTCTTCAACTTCGGCTACTGAATTTCCCACAGTTGGGATGTTCTAGAAAAGAGTAGCCTATGCTGTGTGAATGTGCCTATTTTCTATATATACCAGGATGTAAGCAAAAACTGCTTGAACTCAGAATTACTGCTCCACCACTTTGCCCTGGAAAGAAATTGCAAAATGGTATCAGGTAGATTAAAAGAAGAAGGGGTGCTAAGATTCCTTCTGATCACACTTTATTTTCTAAAGATGTCCAAAGTAGTTATACATACGTGTGTGTGTGTGTGTGTGTGTGTGTGTGTGTGTGTGTGTGTA